AAGTTGCACAGGTGGGTCTTGAACCCGTGGGCTCAGGCAATCCACTCACCTCAGCCTCCCAAAGGCGCGGGATTACAGACTGAGTCACTGAGCCCGGCTTAATCCATGTTGTTAGGTCGAAAGGGAAGAGCAAAATTGTAAATGGTGTTACATTTAAAAATTATTAGGAAAGCAGATGTCAAACACACATTGTATCTAGGTTTAGGACCAATAAAGAGAAGAGTTTCCTCCTGATTCCGGTGATTTTTTTCTTGCTCCTCTGGCTACTTTGAAGATGGAGATTCAGATCAGAACAGGCTCAAGGTGTGTTTTAGAATCTACAGCTGCCAGAACAGCACCATAGCCAACCCATAGGGCATCAGGGCTTCTGATTTGTGGTTCAGATTTGCTTAAAGCATCTTGGGAAGTCTGGGGCAGACTAACATAAAAAGTGTGCCAGGTGTGGTGGCTCACACCTGTAATCCCAGTACTCTGAGAGGCTGAAGCAAGAGGACTGCCTGAGCCCAGGGTTCAAGACCAGCCTGGGCAACTTGGAGAGACCTCCTCTCTACAATAAAACAAAAATTTAACTGAGCATGGTGATACAGGCCTATAATTCCAGCTACTTGGAAGACTGAGGCAGAAGGATCGCCTGAGCCCGGCAGGTCAAGGTTGTGGTGACTGTGAGCGTGCTGCTGTATTCCAGCCTGGGTGACAGTGACACTCTGACTCAAAAATTAAAAAAAAAATAAAAAATAAAAATAAAATAAAATAAAAAGTGTACGGAGATCCTCAGCATTATAAATGTAACTGGGCTTGGAACACGGTTCACGGCAACCCCACAGTGGCTGCACAGAGTTCTCTAATATGCTTCTGAGTTCTGGGGAGCGAGCCAGGCCACGGGGGTTGGGGGGTGGGTGTGCATGAGGAGGGGTCTTTTTACGTTGTTGGCCTTGGGATGTCTATGGAGCTTATACAATCAGCACATCTCCCTTGTCATTTGTTCTAGTCAATATAAACATTATAAATAGATGACAAAAATATGTAAAACGGATTTCACTAATTCTTCCTTCAGAATTCTCAGCCAGAGACGTGGTGAATCCACCAAAATCCCACGAAGAAGTCTTTAAAGAAGGAACAGCAGGACATGATCTGTATGTTGTCTCTCACAATGACTACTACGTGGGTGAGTGCCCTCTGATCCAGGTGGGCCCCAGGACGTGGGCCTCTCAGAGAAGGCAGGAGACAGTGGGCATGGGGTCAGATGCCTGGCATTGAACGGGTGATCAGTGCACGTTCACTTACTGTCATTCATAGGGCCCCAAACCCTGACACATTTACACATTTTGTGTATAAAATGCAGAAATACATGAATCAATACAATGAAAAAGCAACAAAGAAAGATGAGACATTTTATTTATTTTTATTTATTTTATTTTGTTTTTTGGAGTAGGAGTCTCACTCTGCCATCTGGGCTGCAGGGCAGTGGCATGCTCCCAGCCATCGCAGCCTCGACCTGCTGGGCTCAGGCAATCCTTCCTCCTTGGCTGGAACTACAGGCATGCACCACCACACCCAGCTAGTTAAAAAAAAAAAAATTATTGTAGAAATGAGGTCTCACCAAGTTGCCCAGGCCATCTCAAACCCATAGGCTCAGGCAATCCTCTCACCTCGGCCTCCCAAAGGGATTATAGGCTTGAGCCACCGGACCCAGGCTGATGAAACATTTTATTTTATTTTGAGTTGGAGTCTCACTCTGTCGCCCAGACTGGAGTGCAGTGGCCGCTCCCGGCCACCGCAGCCTCGACCTGCTGGGGCTCCGGTGATCCTTCCACCTCAGCCTTCAAAGTAGCTGGAACTACAGGCGCGCACTACCACACCCGGCTAATTTTTTTGATTTACTGTAGAGATGAGGTCTCACCAAGTTGCCCAGGTGGGTCATGAACCCGCGGGCTCAGGCAATCCACTCACCTCAGCTTCCCAAGGCACAGGATTACAGGCTGAGCCACTGAGTCCGGCTCTGATTATAATTTTATTTTGTGTTAGTGGTTTTTGGCTTAAAAATTGCTGTTCTTGTATTCAAATGTCAGGCTTATTCAAGTGCATAGTTTTATATGAAGACTGCTGGGTGATGGTCAGGTGCACACATTTGTAAATCAGATAAGTCAGGTTCAAATTCTAGCCCATCCACCTACTAGCTTTCAGAATGTGAGCAATTTATTTACCAGATCATTATCCCTCCTCCTCCTTCTTTGACAGGGTCTCACTATATTGCCCAGGCTGTCTTGAACTCCTGGCAGAAAGCAAGTCTTCCTGCCTTGGCCTCCCAAAGTGCTGGGATTACAGGCATGAGCCACCGCACCCAGTGCTTGATCTGTTCTTTTTTCTCCCATGGGTATAGTAATACTGTGAGGGCTGAATGTGTGCACAATGCTTAATGTAGTGCCTGAGACATAGTAAGTACAGGAAATGTTCACAACTATTAGCTATTATGATTTATTTTTATATATTTTTTAACTGTAATTTTTTTTTAGAGACAGGGTCTCTGTCACCCAAGCTGGAGTGCAGTGGTGCAATCATAGCTCACTGCAGCCTCATACTCCCGGGTTCAGGAAATTCTCCCACCTGGGTCTCCCAAAGTGTTGGGATTACAGGTGTAAGCCACCGCACCCGGCCTTTGCATTTGTATGCATGAGTCTATGTGTGTGCTTTGTTCCACACCATATATATATTTTTAAACTTGCTTTTGCTTGCCTGATGAAATATTTTGAAATGTCTTTTCATGCCAGTATGTACATGATATTTTTCACTATTACAAAAAAATACTGTTCCCCTACCTTTGCAAATGTGATCTGCTGTTTACTTAGACGACATTCCTACATTTTTGAGCATTTGAAGTTTTTCCTCTTAGAGCCAGATGGTCGGCGTGATAAGTGCCCAGTCCACCCTCACACCTGGGTAGAGAACTCATTCCTTCACGCTTCCCAGTGATGAACATAGTTAAGAGACAAGACAGCTTCTCATTACTGTTTTTTATTTACGTTGTTTGGGTTACTAGTGAGGCTGAATATCTTCTCACCAACATTTCTTCCATCCCTTCCTCTCTCCCTTTCTTCCTTCCTTCCTTCCTTCCTTTCTGAGTTGAAGGCTTACTCTGTCGTCTAAGCTGGAGTGCAATGGCATGACCATAGCCACCACAGCCTTGACCTGCTGGGCTCAGGTGATCCTTCTGCCTCAGCCTCCCGAGTAGTTGGAACTACAGGCACGTGCCACCACACCTGGATAACTTTTTGATTTATTGTAGAGATGAGGTCTTGCCATGTTACCCAGGCTGGCCTGGAGCCTCTGGGCTCAGGTAATTCTCTCACCTCTAGGCCTCCCAAAGTGCTGGGATGACAGGCATGAACCACTGCGCCTGGCTGAACTGTAGGAATTCTTTATCAATTTTTAATACTAACCTCTTATCAGATATATGGTTTGTAGACATTTTCTTCCTAGTCCGTAGGCTGTCTCTTCATTGTGTTGACTGTTTCTCTTGCTGGGCAGAAGCTTTTCAGTGTGATAGAGTCACGTTTGTTTGTTTTTGATTTGTAGCCTGAG